CGGCCCTCGTGACATTTCTATTTCTTAAAGTGCAGCAGTGATCGCTTATGTTCTAATGAAGCGTGATATATTTATTATTTGTCGTGGTGCCATTTACTATTTTCCCAGGTCTATCTGGTGAAAAAAAATCCCCAGCACAGTCTCAAGTTCCCAGCAGCAGGGATGGTTTTCATAAGGTTATTGCCTTTTTTTTTTTTTACTCCAAATGAGACCAGGCACTAAAGTGTGCTTGATCTAAAGAGGCCGTAGCTCTCTTGTTCTGCAGTGTGATTTGTCCTTCTAACTGTCAGCCTGGAGTCAATGCCACCAGCAGGGCAAGGAAATGCCTCGGTGATCCTTGGATAGTTTTTCTATTCTATAACAATTCTCCTGACCAACAATGGTGTCCCTTTAGGTTTCTGAACAAATAATCCTAGCTTTTCCAGTGCAGAACAATTTGTTTTTGAAAAAATACTAAATATGGTTAAAAGCCATATCAGTGTGTTATGCTCTCGGCAGTGAAATTGTGTTTTTCAGATATATCCCAGATTGCTTTGCAAAAGCTTTACTCACTAAGCAACGTGGGATTTGTTGAAGTGGCAACAATTAACAAAGATGGTGCAGACACCGTGCACAGGTAGGTGGAGTTACACGAACAACGGGGAGAAAAAAAATAGTGATCGTCTGTCCAAATAGTCAGTTAACTGAGTTCACTATGAAGTCCACTATAAAGTCCCTGCTCTAAATAGTGATTGAGGGATTTAGGGGTTAGGTTCAGGCACAGCCCAGGTGTCGGTCCTGAAGTGCCAAAGTCCTGAAGCCTTTGCATGCACCCCTTTTTCAACACACATGAAACAAATTAATTATTAATAGCTTTGCCTCTGCTAAACTTAATGGCATACNTGAAAGTAACTCACTACAAGCCAAAGTAACTATGTAGTTATTTTTTTATGCTAAATATCAAATAATTTGGAAGTCTTTCTTGTTACTGGAATTTTAGATACAATTAGAGGGTCAGTTGTATGTACTTATAATAGAATTAAACATATGTCTCACTATTCCCCCCAAAAAACTTAAACCAAGCAAGTAAAATCATTATAGCCCTGAGAAAGTAAAGAACATTAAAGGCAGCAGCTGTCAGTCAGTGTTAAGATGATGGGCAGAGCTTCTTCAAATTCCAGCTTCCTTCCATCCATCCATCCATCCATCCATCCATCCATCCATCCATCCATCCATCCATCCATCCATCCATCCATCCATCCATCCATCTTCTCCTGCTTACTCCATCAGTGGGGCCCTGGACAGGTCGTCAGTCTGTCATAGGGTAACAAAAAAACTCACAACCATGCACAAACATACACTCACAACTAAGGACAATTTAGAGAAGCCAATTAACCCAACTAACTGACTAATCTGTTTAAAGTATAGTTAGAACTAACGTGTTACTGACTTTTGCAAACAAATTTGTTAAAGTGCTAGTTACCGAAAAAGCAACGTAAATAGTGTAACACATTACTTAATAATTCATTAGTCCCAACACTGGTCACTGCTCCAGCCTATCGGTCACTTACATCAGCCAATGATCATTGAAGACTCAAAATTCAACCTGCACACCTCCTGTTTTACTTTTATTCCACTTGTCCTTCTGTTGCTACCATCATTGTCCAGCATCTCTTCCACCAACCACCAATTTTATAGCCTCGTGAGACCATCCTGATCTTGCAAGCTTTCAANAGTCCCTGCTCTAAATAGTGATTGAGGGATTTAGGGGTTAGGTTCAGGCACAGCCCAGGTGTCGGTCCTGAAGTGCCAAAGTCCTGAAGCCTTTGCATGCACCCCTTTTTCAACACACATGAAACAAATTAATTATTAATAGCTTTGCCTCTGCTAAACTTAATGGCATACCAAAGCATTAATTTGGCCTTTTGTTTCAGCTGTGTTAGAGCAGGGAAGCATGCAAAAGCTCTGGGACAGAGTCAGACAAGGACCCAGAAATTTGCCTACAACTGCCATAGACAATGACACTTTGTAAAGGGTAACTTTCTGTTGAAATATGAATATTTCAGTGGTGTGATGCACGTGTGTAAATCAAATTGGAATATGATGATGGTGATTTATTTTATTTTTTTCTTGTACATGCATATTTGTATATGCATTCTTATACATATTTTCTTCTCATCTTAGTCTTAGTTCCTTTTACATTTACCTTACTCCCTGCATTTCTGCCTTTTTTGTCAACCCATCCTTTCTGCATCCAGTTTTTCCTTTACCCTATGCATTTCTGTCTCTCTTTTTTCTGCCGCTTGTTTCTATCCCCTGTTTTTCTTCCATGTGCAGCAGTGAAACTAAAACAGAGGTTAGGGTTTGGAACTGTATTGCTGCTGCAGCTTCTTTCCAACTGGCAGAGGTCAGTAGCTGCTGCTGGCTGCCCGACTATAGAAAAGCTAGTAGCAACATTTAACTACCATCATGTTCTTTATTGGAGGGGTTACAGATTTGGCAACATATTTGTACAGTTAGCAGCAGGTAGTGCAGTTAGTCAGATTACTTTTGTGTGTCGTTTTGAGTGTGTAGCTCAGAAGATACTTGGGTTTGCAGGAGCAGAAAGTTCTGCATTAGTTTCAGGTTACTTTCAAAATAAAAGTGTGCACTGCAGTTAAGCTATTTTCCACATTTAATTGAACCAAACTTAATTTAAGAACTGCACAGTGGAGTTACCTTACTAACATGGTAAATGGTTTGATAGGTATAGAAGTGCACCCACACATGCACTTACACACTAACAAATATACAGTGCACAGTTTTATACTGTTAAAAAACTTTACAGCACAGTATTTTATTCTTTAGCTTTTAAGTCTTCCCTACTATGTTATTCTTATACATCTTTCTTAGGT